CACAACACAGAACAACACACACACACACACACACACACACACAGAGCACAACACACAGAGAACAACACACACGAGTCCTTACCCATCAGTCAAAGGGCCTCGCTGCACTACTCTCCACATGGACAAAAGACTAACAAGGTGGCAATGTATTTTGCCATGTTCCAGCTCAAGATTCGGTCTCGTTTTGCACATTCGGATAGTGCTGCAGCGACGCCCAAATGCATCCTGGGCAGACTGTCAGGGTCCAACCTCCTGATGAGTCGGTGAAAGTCCGACGAAACAGTCTGTTCGGCACAGTCATGCTTTTCTATGTGGAGTTGTGTATGGCGGATATGACGACAGACGTACCGATGTATCTCCACCCCGAATAGAACATGGTCAATGAGAAGAACAAAAAAAAAAAAAAAAAAGGATGGTCAAAATTAATATAGGTTTGGACCGAGTGTCATCATCCCAGGATCACCCTCTCCACACACAAATGCAGCTCACACCCGTCCGTTCTTTCAGAAAAAAGACAAACAACCTGACAGCTACGACGAAGCTAAAATACCCACACCGACGAACGCACCTGGCTTTATTTGCAGTCAGATACATCCATGCGTCCTAAGGCAGCATCCCCTTTTTCTTATTCAAGCCGCGATTTGATGTCATTCCTCTCGAGCATGCCTCTCGGCTCTTCCCACCTCCGATTCGTTCGAATGAACCCAGCCGTTATTGCAGGCAGGTACATCCTGCACGCGTGAGAGTATGCCCTTTGTTCAATCCTGCCTTGATTCACGAGCAATCACTTTCCTCGTCAAGCACGCCCTTCTGCTCCTCAGTACAGATTCGCCATCCTCATCATCCCCTCTTCGTTGCGGTCGTACCCATACTTTCGAATGAACCTGCCCATAATCACGGCTAAGTACATCCTCTAAGTCAATACCGTGAGTATGCGCTTTAAGCATGCGTTCTAGGTAGTCAGCACGGATTGGCCATCCACGTCATCCGTCGTCTTCGTTGCTTCCCTCGAATGAACCCAGCCGTGACTGCGGTCAGGTGCATCCGTCGTGATTGACGACAACTTTCCTCCTCAAGCTCGCCCTTCCGGCCCTCTGCATCATCCCCTCTTCGTTCCGGTCATACCCATACTTTCAAATGAACATGGCCGTTATCATGGTCAGGTACATCCTGCAAAATCCTAGCGTGAGTATGCTCTTATCCGATTTGTCAGTGACGCATGATCGGACTTTCCTCCTCCCACATGCATTCTCGCTGCTCACCACGGATTCGACATACGAATCATCCTCCTTCATCACTTCAAATTAACCTGGCCGTTATCATGGTCAGATACATCCTGTCAGTCCGAGCATGAGTATACTCTTATCCTCCAGCATGCCACTACAAATGAACCTGGCTGTCATCATGGTCAGATACATCCTGTCAGTCCGAGCGTGAGTATACTCTTATCCTCCCGCATGCCTTCTCGCTGCTCAGCACGGATTCGAAACATACGAATCATCCTTCGCCTTCATCACTTCAAATGAACCTGGCCGTTATCATAGTCAGGTACATCCTGTCAGTCCGAGTATGAGTATACTCTTATCCAATACGTCAGTGACGCATGATCGCACTTTCCTTCTTAGGCATGCCTTCTCGCTATTCAGCACGGATTCGGCATCCGCATCATCCTTCGTCTTCATCATTTCAAATGAACCTGGCCGTTATCACGGTCAGGCACATCCTGTAAGTCCCAGCGTGATTATGCTTTATCCAATATGCCAGTGAACGCATGATCGTACTTTTCTCCTCAGGCATGCCTTCTCGGTACTCAGCACAAATTCGACATCCGCATCACGCTTCGTCTTCAGTACTTCCAAGTTGTGGATGCCTATATAACGACAAGTGACCGAGCTGCAATACAGAGTCACACAGATTCTTCGCTAAACCCATACCTCCATCAAAGGGCCTCCCTCCACCACTCAACATTCGAGACGTATCTGGACAGTTTACGGACCAGATAAAATCGAACCCATATTTTTGAACGTATCGGGACCATTTCTAGCTCCAGATGCATTCAGGATCGGGACCATTTCTAGCTCCAGATGCATTTAGGATCGGGACCATTTCTAGCTCCAGATGCATTTAGGATCGGGACCATTTCTAGCTCCAGATGCATTTAGGATGCTGCGCAGTGGAGCGAGACCGAAAGAAAGAATCACGAACAGGGACGATGTGCCTACTGGTAGCCCGAGACTGGCCATCACTACTGTGCTACATATTCCTTTTTTTTTCCCTTTTTTTTTCCTTTCTTTTCTTTTTTTTTTTGCCTATATGCATGTAGCTCGAACAAGAACGCATGTACAAAAACTGGCAAATCGATGTATCCAGCCCCAGAATGACCTCAAATACACAGTCACAAAATCAATGTATCCAGATCAAGAATGACCTCAACTACCGAGTCACAAAATGCTTGACAGTGTCCCACATATAGGCCGAACAAGAACGCATGTACAAAAATTGACAAATCGATGTATCCAGCCCCAGAATGGCCTCAAATACACAGTCACAAAATCAATGTATCCAGATCAAGAATGACCTCAAATACCGAGTCACAAAATGCTTGACAGTGTCCCATGCCGCCTTGTATTTGGCAAAAGCAGTTGGTCTACAAAGAAACCAGCGCTACCGTCACAGATTCTCCCAACACCCCCCCCACATATAGCTCGAATCAGAAAAGCATGCACAAAAAATTTGACGATACAATGCATCCAGCCCCCAATTAGCCTCAAATACATTAGTCACAAAATGCTTTCATGCCCAAGCCTCATATTTGGGCGGACAGTTGACCTAATACTAAAATCCCAGCGTTACTGTCACAGATTCTTCCACCATCCATGTCTCCAATTAGAAAGAGTTCCCAAAAAAAAAAAAAAAAAAAAAAAAAAAAAAAAAA